TGAATCTCATCGCATGAACAAATCACCGCAGGTTGTGAGAGTTGGCAGCATTAATGATAATCACACAATACGCAATTTAAATGTCACTTCCTGGGTTATGAAAATCAAAAAATAGTTACTACTTAAATTCACAGTCTCCTTTTTTAAAAAAAAAAAAAAGAAAGAAAAAAAGGATCCTAATCAGTTACAGTTTGAAGAACATGCAGGATATAGCTGCAGGGTAAATTCCCCTCATGGCTTACATCTGTACCTTTTCCTTTGTTTGTGCAGCTCCAGCTGATCCGGTCCAGAAGCAGGACAAGCAGCATAGCAGAGGCTCTCCAGTACTGTGCATGCAGGCAGAAATGGGCCCGTCTGCAGCTCGACGCTCTGCTATGGCTGAGTCATTGGGCTTTGTGGATTTGAGAGTGCAGAACTGCAAGGCACAGTTGTTAACCTCGACAGTGGCCAACATCGGTCCTTTTCTTGAAGACGAATTTAGCGTTGATGGTCAGCCAGTGAAGTTACACATGAGCAACGTCACCATCACTATGAAGGTAGGTTAACACTGTCCTGGTGATAGTATGATGTACTGATCTATTTTGGGCTCTTCTCTTTGAATTGAATAATTATAACATGTAAGCAGAAAAAATGTCGCAATTACAGTCAAAATACTTTATACCTAGTTTAGATATAAGTTTCTTTTTCCTCACAAAGGACTGGATTAAAATACTTTACCTTCTACACACATTTTCTAGAGAAACTGTACACTATCATATTTTACTTTGAAATCAATATTTATTTATATTTTTGTTGCTTTTTTAGGATGATAGCCCCAAAATCTACCCCACAGCCCCTCAACCTGTTCCAGCCACATTCATTATAGATCAGCTTCTCCTTGAGCGTGGTGATGACGGCATCATGAGAGTCAAAGGTGAGACAGAAAATAATTTCTTTTTGAACAGGATTTTTTATTTAACGCTTGCCAGCATTGTGGGTACAAATATCAGCAGGATCATGAACTTTAAAACCACAGAAACTGAGAGCATCAGCTGTCACTGCTTCACAGAAAGTTGAACAGAAAGTGATCGTCACCGTTTCCTTTCTGATTGCAGCTGAAGGGGCAGACCCTAAAGCCGCAGCAGGTGTTCCTGTGGCTGGCTCGGACAACCCCGGCGGCTCCAGCTCTGACAAACAGCTGAGCGAGGTAGGAAGAGCAAGCACTCACATGTACTGTGCATGTTTAGTGTGTCTGTGGCCAAAATAATAAAAATACTGAGGACATAGCTCTAAAAGTCTGACAGCTTTTTATACAGTAGTACTGCGATCATTTCCAGATACACTTCATAGAAAGCAGCTAAAGGGTTTTACACGTGTTACAAAAGTTTGACATTAAAAATGTGTTGGACCACCCAGTGTTCATTAAATATATTACAGACCATTTATCAAATTTGTACATTATGATCATTTCCTTTCAACCGAACCCCAAAAACATGACGATGTAAAGACATCTACAAAACAAATATACTAGCGGTGAGAACATAATGTAAAAATAAGTTAATGTAACCTCTGAGTATTATCCTGCAGACTGTTTCTGTGCCCATTTTTTCTCAAAATGTGAAAAGTTGTACATAGCAACAAGGTTACAAAAACATCTGCTACAACACAGTAGTAGCTTTGTCTCTGTGTCACAGTTACAGCTCAAGGTCGGGACAAACACAAGTCAAAATAAAATTCTGTTTGCAAACAAATGAAGTGGCCTAATGACACAATATCAACCATAAAGCTTTGAATACAGTATCTTTGATATACCTTTTATAGGGCTCGAGATTTAGTTTTTGATAGATTTTGATGGTAAGGTCAAAATATTCAAACCTCAGCTGAGTCAGATTTATAGCTTCTGCTCATGTTATAGATCTAAAGTAATCGTATGTCTTAAGTACCGCTGTTAAACTGGTGTCCTCTTGCTTTTCAAGATAAACAAAGCAGAGATGTGTCTATTTACACAGGACTGTGCAGTGATATTGTAATTACACCTGTTGCTGTCGGTCAGAATCTGATATCAGCCCACATGGTGTGTAGCACCAAGCCACAGTGTGCTTTAGCTGTAGCTAACCAGTCCAATAATCCTGCCGTTACAGGGACGAATGCTGGAGTCCCAGCTCTGCGACGTCCAAGCTGCCCTCACCCAGGCCCTCAGCGAGAGAGAGCGCCTCCTTCTGGAAGTCAGGAAGCACGACCCCACATTCACTCTCTGAGCCTCTCTGTCTTTGACCTCTGAACCTGTCGCTGCTGAGGAATGGTGATGGGACGTGAAAGGCTGAATGTCAGGAACTTACGTAAAGCATGTCTGGACAATGGACGTACTTAAAAAGAAGATGAATCCAGACTGTGGCTTTGGATCGCTTCCCCTCGGTACATCACACTATTCATGAGAATTACAAAAGAGCCTGTATAACAATTACTGAAAGAGGACCTTAGTAAACTAACTTCTAGGTACGTTAACTGTGTTATTTTTTAAGCTGGCAGTGTAGCTATTCCTCGCTGCTCTACTAAACACACATTATCCTGGTTATTTCTCATTCAAGTGTGAACAGTAATCTCATTGTGTAGTTTCAGTGTTTATCACACAGCATGCAAGATGATCAAGCTTTAATTCTCTCCAGTTATTTATTTGTGTTACGTCGAGCACACGCCAAAACCTCCTTTCACATGCACTGACACTGCCAGACAGTTGCTAGTCCATCAGTCACTCCTTCGACAAACGTTACTGTCAAGCATGCTTTGCGAACAGTGCTAATTTACATGTAGCACATCTACAAACCAACAGTCATAGAGGTAGACTAGATAGAATAACGTAGATTACTACTGTTAAGTGTAAAATAAGAGACCCGTGTGTTTCTTTTCATTTAAAAGTGTTGTCAGCTGTTGAAAAATGTGTTGGGAAAACTGCACTTTTTTTCTTAAAGAGAAGAAGAAAAAAAAAAAAGCAGATCTCCACTGCTTTCATGGAGAGACTGATGCATCTCATTTTCTCCCCTCGGTTGCTTTATCACCCGGGTGGAGAGGTGGCACACTCTTATGAAATTCTTACCGTTTTCAAAAAAAAAAAAAGCGGGTTTAATCATTCCCCAGTGTTATTTTTATTCTTTGAGTTGTGAAATGTTGATCATGCTTCTTTTGTACTGTGAAATGAAGTGCTCTGTGGTGGAATTTCCACTAAAGACGACGAGCCTTTTCCGTCTCTCTCTCAGCCGTGGAGAGCAGGTTGCACAGTAGCCTCAGTATTGTAACTGGGTTCGTCCTTCTATTATAATTCTCTGGTCTAAAGAGGTTTGGGATTACACCAGCTACCAGAGAGCTAACACTTGATCTCCTTGAAACGTGTTATGTAGCTTGCCAGGAAACAACTCAGACTGATAGTGTTATTACCTCTGTGCACATGTATCATGTACTACAGTCAGACGTCATGAACCTTAATGTTCATTCTTTATTTTGTTTTACTTCTGTGTATTTATTTACATTTGTTAGTGGGTTTTTATTTTTTTTAATCTTATTTACCACAGTGTTCTGAAGCCATATCAATCAAAGAAAGTGACATTTTAAAAAGCTATGGTACTGCTAATGTCATGTATAGTGACCAAATTTACTACAAAAACTGATCATTTTCAGTATTTTTAATCCTGTTGAACTGCAGGTTTTACCTATCGGGCCTATTAGTTGTTAAAATTTCTCACTTTCTGTCACCCATGCATACATCTGTGACAGACATGGATTTAAACAATGATGGATTTGTTCATCAAAGAGACTGTTTAACAATATATTCATTTTGTAAATGCTCCTCTCTGTCAGTTATATTTTATCTACAAGCATTCTACTGTTAAATCAGTAGTTTGGCATTTCGCCGTCGGCGGTACGTTATCTAGTTTAACAGTGACAAAGCCGTTGCTGTTACAAAGATCTTCTAATTTTTCACTCCCAGTCATAATGGTCCTTGAGTACTTGGGAGACCTCTGGTGGCAGAAACTTGACTAGAGTACGCTCCATTTAAAATATTAGTTATTTCTTTTTTTGTTTTTTAACTGTGGTTGCCTTGCAAGCTACAAATGACACATTTGCATTCTTAAAATGAATGTAGTCTATTTAAGCAATAGAAACACACATTTAGTTGAAACAAAAATGTGACAAATAATAACACTACACATTTTTAATGTGGAACACAATTCTTGAGATGACTAATTAACTACCACGTTTTAATGTTTTCCCTTCAGCTGTATGTGAACTCAAAACATCCTCAATCTCTTTGTGTAACAGAGCAGAGATGCTGCCAGTTGACCTCAGTATCACTTGTAGGTGATATTATTTTTTTAGCTTTTGGTGTTTGTGTTTTTGCATGACGGTAGATACGTTGGTACGAAACTGAATGTGCCATGTTGGATGCAACATGTAGCTCTGAAGCTTGCCCAGTTTCCTGTTCCTCAGTCAGACCTCAGTGTAAAGTAGCATCTCTGTTCCACTGACCAACTGGTGCTTTGAGTTAAATCTGCTCATAACCTGTTACACTAGACTTCCTTTGCTCTCCAGAGCAGGCCTGGGTTTCCATGACAACTCCTACCCAGTGTGCCATGCAAAAAGGAAGAGATGGACGGAGAGTGAAGCGAGACTCACTACAACATGTGTTGTTCCCTCTCCAGATGCATGTATTGAAGTAAGGTTGTATTGTTTATGCCTTGTGGATTACTTGCACTTGTGAGTTAAATTCACTGGAAATTGCACTTGTTAAAATGTAAATCACTTCAAAGGATTGCAGAGGAGTTGTCGTGAAATCTTTCGAAGTGCAGATGTTGGGAGACTCTGTGGACTGTATTTTTTTTTGTCAGTGGTGTAGAATTACATTGAATTTTATATTGTCTTCATCACTTCATTGAGACTAATATGATAAAACTGGTTCTGTGAACCAAAGCTAGTATTTAGAAAATATTTTAAGTGACAAAAATAAACGATTAATTGCTCAACACATCTGGGTTGTCCATGTACGTTTTAATAGAAAATGCATGTTTCCATATAACAAAGTCTACTGCAGTCATGGTTTTGTCATAACATAAACAGAAACTTGTAAGTTTAAGGTCTCATTTTGGGTATTTTATGAGTGTGATCCATCATTTGTTTGACTGTAACCTCAATAAAAAAGTTACAAATTTCCAAGTGAAACTTAGAATTGATTTAGTCCGGCTCACAACCTAAACCTAAAAAACAGATCTGAAATGGTATGAGCCCAGTTTTTCAAGAACCACTTTTCCAATGAATGAAGTAAAAAGGTTAAATTTCACTTAAAAAATGTGATGAGTGAGTTATGAGACAGTAAACGGTGGAAGGAGTGGATCTTATTAAAAGATATGAACATATTTTAAATTTCAAGAATCAAAATTAAAAACCTGTGTGCCTGTACGGCTGCAAAAAGAAACCGAGCGATCATACTCATTTTGATAATGTTTTTACCCAAAAAGTAATTTAACTATTTGAGGCACAATAACAAAACATTTAATATTTTCAAGTATAAAACATGTTGTATTTATAAATATAATACATAACTATAATTTCACAGGATTGAAGCTGTGTGGCATTTGGCATTTTACCTTGACAGTTTGGGGTGAATGGCATTTCTACTTTTCAGCTTGACTTCAGAGCTTTCTTGACTATTCTTCAAGACTACAGTTGCTGGGCTTGGTCAGTAGAGAATAGTCACTGATCATCTGGCTGCAGTATGAGTACAGTGGCTTCATGACAAGTTTTCCACATGTGATGCACCACTTTTTAATCCTCATGTAATGTACAGTGTGGGTGCCTCAGTGGAAGACAATGTTCTTGTACTTGGTGTTGGGAATCTGGTCTCGGCTCTTCAACCTCCTCACTGCTTCCCTCATATGTTTGGGCTGAAGCGGGGGTGTGTCTCCCCACTTCTCACAAACGTCTAATGCTGTAAGGACAAAGCAAACAATTTAACTGCATAATACTAAAATTCAAACTGCAGATAAAATGCCTTATTAAATTGCTTGTACATGTTGTAAAATCCTACGCTCACCTTCCTCAACAATTTCCCCAGCAAAGACCTTGGCAATGCCAGACATTGCAATCACCACATTCTGGGACACTGATGATCCTGTTATGGACTGGATCAGCTGGAATAGTTTAAAATAAACACATCATATCATCACATAGGTTAGGGGATTCAAAAATGCTTCTGTTAATTTTCAGAAACAGCTTACCCTCTTAATGGCAGCCTTAGGGAAGGCAGAACGTCTGTACATCTCATAGCGATTCAGCTGCTCTTCAGAAAAGGATGACACCAAGACTCTAAAAAACACAACAAGCACAGAGGAGGATTGTTAAGGTTTAGCCACAGACTTCCAAGAATTAGAATTGATCCTATGTGAGGTTCAAAATGTTACTCTTACTGCATCTTTTGTATTTCATCCTCATCAACCTTGTGGCGCTTCTCCTTTTTCTTCTCTGGTTCCACTTTCAGTCTTTTGGAAGCCGGCTGGCCAGAAGTTCCTTCTTCTTCATCTTCTACTGCCGCTGTTTCCTTCACAGTGAAAGACAAAATGTTTTAACCTCCACAAACAATTAAATACCTTTTGTAAAAGCATATAATAAATAAGACATTTGATCAAATTACAGATTTTTAAAAAAACAACAAAAAAAAAAAACTATTTTCATTATTAGACTTGTCTCTGGTCAACTTTGTAAATATTTGGTCAATTAAGAGATGTGTCAATGTACCTTTTGTTGTAAAGAGTTATACATTTGAAAACCTAACACAAAATGCTTTGAATTTTAACACAATTAGTCCACTGATTCAGTCTTACATTAACACACAATAAAGGGTTTATTATTAATTGTGACTTGTGGAGCAAAGCCAGTAAAACAAACAAAAAAAGGACTAAGAATACGATTCCTAGTAGTCGGTGGAAAAACCCCAAGTGTAATCAATTAGTAGGAAGGGAGAAAAAGTCCGATATGGTCCATTTGACTTTTGATATAGACGTCATTTTCTTTTCTAATGCAAGGAAAATGAAGGCACCACAACTCACAGATTTGGCCTCCTGTTTTGGCTGATCTTGCGACGACGACTCTTTGCTTTCATCTGCAGGTTTTTCTGTGACGGATGCATTTTCTGTTTCCTCGGATTTAGGACGCTCCTCGTTTGCAGAACTTATCCTTTCAGTTGTACTGTCAGATTTTATCCGCGCAGGATCTGCCATAGTCTCTCAAACGCTTTCTGACAGCTTCAGATTCTGCAAATATCGACGAGGTAGTTGATCAGTTACCGTTGACACTTTTGTAGCAATTCTGCAGCTAGCGACACATCGAAAATTTTCACCAGCTGTATTTTATTTGGAAAGCCCCCAACAAAAACACCCAAAACAAACAAAAAACACATACGTTCGTGTGAGTAACTCTTGGATAAAAAATGCATGAAAATGGGAATACAACATGCACATACCTTTTCTGCAGCTAGGCGTCAACAAAGCAGCGGCAATAGCCGAGCTAACAGTGGAGCTAAGCTAACGTTTAGATAGTAACTGACGGAGGCTAACACATGACAAAGTATTTTTTCAGTTCTAGTATATTTGACAACGCAATATGGTCAGCGTACCTGCTGTGTGCTAAATGAATGTAAGCACCTAATGTAAAAGGAATGATAGCATCAGAAAGCTAATTCTCCCAGCGCTTTGCTAACACAACATCCGCATTTCCGTTTCCGTTTTGAACGAACTTTATTAACACTGTTAGCCGTGAGTTGACAACACCTCCAAAGTGCCACAAGTTAGTACCAAAAGAACGTTTTTCCGCATTACGTTTTTTAAAAAACTGCAGTGGTTTGATATGATTATATGGTGCAAGTCACAAACACGGTAGAAAAGCCAGATGAAGCTCAGTTAGGACGACTATTCCCACTTTAATTGTTGCTACCAGACAACACTGTCCACTTACTGACATCAGTCGCTGAATAAAGGCCATACTATAGTGTTGAAATGATCTATTTTGTAGTTATGATATAGGCCATAATCTATAAAACGTTATCCACATAAATGAAATAAATTCTGATGTATCAATAGCCTCTCAGTGTATGTAAGGGCTGCAATCACTGTTATATATAATTTAAAGCTATTTCAACTAGTAAAAGTAGCTGGATGGTTACAGTCTAGGCCTCATTTATCAGGACAGGTAAAGTATTCATCCTCCTCAGAAGTGCCCCCCCCCCTTTTTTTTTTTCCAATTGCTTTTCAACATTGAATCGTGGTAAATTTACTTTGGCTTTTTTGACAAGAGTTTAACCCCTTCCAGTCAGTATTTAGTAAACGCACCTTCAGCTGCAATTACAGCATTGAGCCTTGATGGATAGGTCTCAATCACTCTTGCACATCTAGACACTGAAGTTTTAACCTATTATTCTTTTCTGTATCAGCTCTGTTGGGTTGCACATGGATTGTGAGTAAACAACTCTTTTACAATCCAGCCACACGTTCTAATTCTGGTTTAAAGTCTGAGCTCTGACTCTGCCACTCCAGAATATTAACCTTGTTGACTGTAAATTATTTCTTTATCACACATCTTTTCCTGTCGCAGTTTTCTTACAGCAGTTCCCAATACTTTTATGCATTCATTTTCCTCTCTACCTTTACAAGCGTTTCAGGGTCTACTGCTGCAAAAGCATCCCTACATCATGATGCTGCCACCACCATGCTTCGCGGTGAGGATGGTGTGTTTGTGATGATGTGCAGTGTTAGGCGCTTGTCCAACATAATATGCAATAAAAACCTTACTGGTGAAGAGCCAACAACAGTTGTTGTATGTGCAATCTCTATTATTTCAGCCGCTGAAGTTTGTCACTCCTTCAGGTGAGTCATAGGTGTCTTGGTGGCCTCCCTGACTAGTCTCTTTCTTGCGCAGTCACTCAGTTTTTGAGGACTGGTTGTTCTAGGCAGATTTACTCACGTGCCATATCCCTTCCATTTCTTAATGACGGATTTAACTGTACTCCAAGGTATACTGAGTGACATGGAAATTTTCTTGTATATATCCCCTGAGTCATGCTTTTCAATAACCTGTTCACAGAGTTGCTTGTATTGTTTTTGTGTGCTGTATCCAGGAAAGCTGATTCACCAGTGACAAGACCTCCTAGACACAGGTGTCTTTATACTACAATCACTGGAGGCACGTTTCGTTTCACTAATTGTGTCATAAATTGGTTGCACCTGCGTTGAATTGGATGAGTCACTTTAAAGGCGGTAAACACTTATGCAATCATTTGTGTTACTTTTCATATTTTTTTTAATGAACTGACATTAATTCTTTTAACCAGTTTTTAACTAGCTATCCATTCTGCACATTTTCTTCTTCTTCTTTTTTTTTTACAGTGTGTATTTACATGTGTTTGCATGCACTTTTTATTTATTATTTTATTTTTACCTGTGTTTGCCCTGGCCTACCTGATATTTTACCTGTGTTTCATGTTCTGCCTGTCAAAGCACGTTGTGAATTGTTGTTCTTAATAGTGTTATAAAAATAAAGTTATTCTTCTTCTTCTTATTATTATTATTGCTATTATTGTTATGATTATTTTGTAAAAAAAATATGCTTTTGTGTTGACTTGGAAATAATTGTTGATTCTTGTTTATCATGTTGTTGGTACATGTGGTGAAGAATATATTTCCTCCCTTTTTTCCTGAATTATCGTATCTAACTCTGCAAATGAGACGATAACGCGATTGAGTAGAGCAGATATTTAAAACACTGGATGGGTATAAACCAGCATGTCTGCCTATACGTTACACAGCCGCCGCCATCTTGCTTTAACCCATCCACCTCATGTCTCCGGCAGCTCGGGCGGCGGTGGTTTGGCTCGTGTGCGTGTGTGTGTGTGTGTGTGTGAAGGTTTTTCGGATTGGAGATGCAGAAAGAAAGGGCAGTTTCAAGGAAGTGACGGACGACGCTCAGGGGACTGGTCAGAGGAAGTTTGTTCGATGCTGGTGCCGTGCCGCTGAACCAAACTTTTCCCCCTTGAGCTCCAGCGGGCACCGTGGACCGGGACGGACGGATCCAGCGGCGGAGGGGAGCTTTTGTTTCCTCCCCACACCGGCAGGAATAACTTGAGGCTGGGAGAAAGAGGGTCGCAGAGGAATTTCACTCCCACCGAACCAAACCCCCCTTTTTCCCCTTCTTCTTCTCTCTTTTCTCCCCCGCGCCTCCTCTTAGGGTTTTTTTTCTTCTGGGATTTGCGATGGGGAAGGAACAGGAGCTTCTCGAAGCGGCTCGGACGGGAAACCTGGCCGCGGTGGAGAAGCTTTTATCCGGGAAGCGACAGTCCGCTGGCGGATCGTCTGGCCCCGGTGGAAGCTTCAACAGCGGCGGCCACGGCGCCTCCTCTCATCCGCTCTCCAGTCTGCTCAGGTAGGCTCTGGGAAATCGAAGAGGAGGCGGCTGAAACTAACTGGGAGACCATTCAGCAGCCTCTGTCAAATAATGTCTAATCGTTTACTGTTTCAGTTTACAGTGTGTCACATATGCACGGTTAATACAGTACTGTTTGTTTTTTTTGCATTACCAAACAAACACAACCCAAACCAGCGCAGAGGCAGTGGCATGCTTCTTTGTTAGCCCACAGCTCCCGTGTTCCTGCCACTTCTACTGTAATGTGCATTAACGGCCTGGAAGGCAATTATGCAACTTAACTGGAGAAATCTGCAACACAACAGTCCGTGATCTCTGTAGAAACTGGTACAGATGTATTATTCATAGTTTACACACAGTCTGGATCTGAACACGCACTGGTGAAGGTGGAGTATGAAGCCAGTTGTCATAATCAGATTTTATTTTACAGTTTGGAAATCTGTATCCAACAGCCCCTAAGTATGAGACTGCATTTATTAACCTCAGGTGTGGTAAAGCAGGAGTATGTCATTTTATATCCATGTACTCAGAGGGAAGTCCAACTAGAGGTAAACATTTGATGTGGTTTTTCACATCTGCTGACTGGTTTCGCTGCTCTTTCAGGGCTTCTTCTTGTCATTGATGTTTTCTCTCCTGCTTTATTAGCTATAAATTCTGGATTCATAAAAAAAACCCAGCAAGTTTATTTACTATAAAGTGTCGTGTCACGCTCCCCAGATGCTATCTGTGCGCATACAGTGCATATCAGTGAAGTAGAGTGCTAGGCCAAAGAACATTTGCTTAAAATTAAAGACACAGATCATGCTTGAGTCCTGAGTCCATCAAACCTGGCCATTGCATCCAATTCCTTGCTGTATTTTTAAAAAAACAGCTCCTTCTACTGTGCCAGCCTTCTAACTTGGTGCAGATGCTGTTAATATTAGATATTAAGGTGAAGTATAATAGATCTGATAAGTTCAGAGTTTCATTTTGTCCTGCAGATGTTATCTGAATTATAGGCTTAGCACAACAGGATTGTTGATTTTCCCCAGGCTGAAACATATTGTTCCAGATCCATGAAATGCACTTTCATAAAGTTTCTACGGTTGAGAGAGAGAGAGAGAGGCTCTGTGCGATAAGCCTTATTAGCACTCACCGAGAAAGAAAAGAACAGCTTTGTTGTTGTGAAAGAGCCAACTCCTTAAAGGTATGTAGGCTTCTATACGCCTGCGGAAATATAGCTGGTGTACTTATTGGGATAAAACCGATGGCCAGGCTAAGTGCTGCGTGTCAGAAGCCCACAACAGGCCAATCTCCACACGTATTTTAAAGCAGAGTGTATGCAGGTAAACATGGGTCAGTCAATATGTAAAATTGCTCCTTTGGGAGCCCTGCTGCCGGCCACCTTCATCTGAGAGGGAGAAGTGTTAAGGCAAAGTTCGAGGTGATGCGTCACTGTTTCTTAGTGCAGACTGCACAATGTACTCAAGGTAATTACATTAAACCCTTCTAATCAGAAATCCAATTCAGAGATGTCATGCAGTCAAGGCTGACTCCGTCTCTTCCTCAGAGATCTCTGGGCGGACTGAACAGTCCATTGTGTCATCTAATCTGTCTTGAGCAATCAGTGTTTGCTAATGACAGCTCAGGGAAATTATTGGCTAGACTTTAAAGGAAATGAAGTAACTACTGGTGCGTAGATTTGAAAAGCCTGTTGCTTGTGGACACCTGAGTTTATAGGACAGGCTCTTAGAATATAACAAGTTGGAAGAGTATTGACCGCAGGGCAGCTTGGGGCATTGTTGTTATTGTGTATGACATTTGATTTAGTTTGCATAATCAAAATGTCAATATGTCTGAGGGCATCACAGTGAAATGCTACAGGCTGTGGGTTTGTGTATGTGATTTTTTTTCGCCCCCCTTTATCTCATTGTGACCTATTCATCATCCATTGTTAGAAAGTGTAGGTCTGTAATCCTGTCACGGGAGATTTGATCTGTGGGAAGGACTGTTTTCTTTAGTCAGTTTTAGGCTGTGTTGTTTGTAGTGTCAGCATGTGGAATGAGATGTTTGTTATTTACACTCTCGCTGTATTCCACGCGCATCACCTTCTGCTTGTGTTGTAAAACTTATTCATAATTAAAGTTTTTAGGCTTGTGTTGTAGTAGCAGCACATTAGGCCTCCTGCTCCAATTGTAAACAACAATAACTTCCTGTTTATTACGTAGATTAAAACAGGCTACCCAGAATGATCTAATCCTCTTCATTACTGTTTTTGAAGGTGTGCTATGTGTGTTCCCAATAGATTTTTGGCGT